GAGGAAGGTTTTGTTAGTATCCTCATTTTATAGTTGGGGAAACTGAGGCAAACAAGCTAAGTGATTTGCCCAAGGTCATATATTAAGTGTCTAAGCTTGGGTTTGAACTCAGGTCTTCCTGACTCTAGACCCACTTTGCCGCCTACTTGCTACATTTCTCTCCTCTCCCCTACAAATTACCTTGTATATGCTTTGTAAATATTTTGCTTTATTTATATGTGTACATTTTGTTTTCCACTGGTAGAATGTAAAGTCTTTGAAGGCAGGAAGTGTTGGATATTTATTTTTGTGTCCCTAGCTCCAAGCACAGTATCTGAAACTTAGTATGTTCTTTAAAAATGCTTGTTGATTGGAGGAAAAACACCTTAAAAGCAAATTGTGTTTCCTCTCATTTCATCCATCTGACCAAATTTTACATTTTACATTTATTGCATATTATATAGCTAGATTATATGTAAACATATGCCCTCTCTCTCTATATATACACACACGTATGCTCATAAGCAACCCTTACATGGGTATCATGTAGTATTTACCAATTTTCAAAGAATTAGAATTCAATAAAATAAATAATAGTAAAACTATAGTGAATGTACTTAAAATTTTTCTTTGATTGTTCAGAAAGCAAGAAATTTCCTGTCATAATAATGAACAGACACCAGTCATCCTTATATATCCAATTAGAAAGTGCCTGTTAATAAAATTTGCTGATGGATGATATATAGGGTGAATCAGCTCTTACTGGCGTAACTCCAGAAGAGTAATGTATTGACTACCACCTTGATTACTTCTTTTAAAAATTTTTATTTCGTGTTTTATTTTCCCCCAGCTGCATTGTACTAAAAACAATTTTTGACATTCCTTTTAAAACTTTGAGTTCCAAATTCTCTCCCTTCCTTCCTTTTCATCCAGTGTCATTGAGAAGGCAAGCAATTTGATATAGGTTATGCATGTGTAGTCATGTAAAATATTTCCATATTAGTCATGTTTTGAAAGAAAACATAGACAAAACAAAACTCAAGAAAAATAAAGGAAGTTTAAAAAAAGTGTACTTCAATTTGTATTCAGACACCATCAGTTCTTTGTCTGGGGATGGATAGCATTTTTTATCATAAGTCCTTCAGAGTTGTCTTGGATCATTGTGCTGCTGAGAATAGATAAGTCATTCACAGCTGATCATTGCACAATATTGTTGTTATTTTGTATACAGTACATTTAACTTTGCATCAGCTCATGTAAGTCTTTGCAGGTTTTTCTGAGCGCATCCTGCTCATCATTTCATATAGCACAATAGCATTCCATTACAATCATATACCACAGTTTGTTCAGCCATTACCGTCAATGGTCATCCTCTCAATTTCCAATTCTTTGCCACCAGAAAAGAACTTCTATAAATATTTGTGTACATATAGGTCCTTTTCCTTTTTTTTTTAATCTCTTTTGGGATGAAAGCTAGTTGTGGTATTGCAAGGTCAATGGATATGCATGGTTTTATAGCCCTTTGGGCATAGTTCCAACTCACTGTATAGAATGATTGAATCAATTCACAACTCCACCAACAGTGCATTAGTGTCTCAATTTTCCCACATCTCTTCCAACATTTGTCCATTTCTGTCCTATTAGCCAATCTAATAAGTATGAGGTAGTACCTCAGAATTGTTTTAATTTGCATTTCTCCAATCAGTAGTGAGTTAGCATTTTTTTTTATATGGCTGTAGATAGCTTTGATTACTTCATCTGAAAACTGTTCATAACTTTTGCTCATTTATCAGTTGGGGAATGTCTCTCATTTTTATAAATTTGACTCAGCTCTCTATATGTTTGAGAAATGAGGCCTTTATCAGAGAAAGTTGCTTTGAAATGTTTTTCACAGTTACTATTGCTAACCGTATTTCCCTCCATCCTATGCCCCACCCCTATTTATTCCATTCTCTCTTTTTGCCTTGTCCCTCCTCAAAAATGTTTTGCTTCTGACTACCCTTCCACAAATTTGCTCTCTCCTCTATCACTTCCCCTCTCCTTCTCTTATGCCCTTTCCCTCCTAATTTCCTATAGGATAAGAGATTTCTATACCCAATTGAGTTGCTATTTTGTGTTATTCCCTCTGAGCCAGGTGTGATGTAAGGCTCACTCACTTCCCCTCTTCCCCTCCACTATAAAAGCCTTTTCTTACTTTTTTTATATGAGATAATTTACCCCATTATATGAGATATGAGATAATTTACCCCATTCTACCTCTCCCTTTCTCCCTCTTAACATTCCTCTCTTACCACTTAATTTTGTTGTTTTTTATATCATTCCTTCACATTCAACTCACACCTGTGCCCTCTGTCTATATATACTCCTAACTACCCTAATACTCTGGTCTTTTCATCAAGAATGCTTAAAAGTCCTTTATCTCATTGAATGTCCATTTTTGCTCCTGAAGGGTTATACTCAGTTTTGCTGGGTAGGTGTTTTCAGAGATATTTCTAGAGACCTGTAAGTTTTCAGTTCTTCCAAGGTGGTATGATCTAACGAGAAGTGTGTTTACTGCTTTCCTGATCTGCAAGCAACAACAAGCACTCTTTTCTGCCCTGAAACTGTGATGAAGGTCCCTGCTCCATTGGCCACAAGCTCTGATGAGCAAGTGCCCTTCCTTGCCCTGGGCCTGCCACTAGGGCTGTGATCTGGATCCAAGTATGGGCAGAGCAACAGTGCTACCCCCAGTGCCAGGAAAGAGATTCCTGTAATTTCCTTCTGACCAGTTTTTCTACCCCCTTGCTGTATGTTGGCTGAGAACTCTGGAAGCAGCTGTGGTTGATTCAGTGACTCCTAAGGCCTGCTCCTGGTTTGTTGGGGTTGGGTTTGGGCCTGTGTGGGACTGTGCTCCATTCTCGCTCAGGTAGGACAGGCCTTTCCTGCTGACATTCTAAGTCGTCTTTGGCTGGAAAATTATTTTGTCCTGTCCTTTTATGGGTTCTGTTGCTGCAGGAATTGTTTTATGGCATTATTTAAAGCTATTCAGAGGGGTTTTGGGGAGAGCTCAGGCGAGTTGCTGCCTTTTCTCTGCTATCTTGGCTTTGCCCACACCCCTCACTGTGATTATTTCTAATGGTTAGGAAGAATTTGGGTAGAGGAAGATTATGTGGTACCATTTGTAGTACAACCGCTGCCTTCATTATGAGGAGGGAAGAAGCAGGAGCCCCAAATGACTGAGCTATTTGTTTTGCTGTTACTGTGAGGGTAATGAGTGAGATGATGGGGCACTATCCTTGGATAATTGGGAAGGGGTGGGAGTATTTTGTGATGGTTGTGGGTAGTGTAAATGTTTTCTAGTGCAGATATGGAAATGAAGACAGGTGGAGAGGAGTGGACACATGAGCTCTACTTAGTTTCTTCGCTAATGGGTCAATGTATTTGTATGTGATTGATATTTTATGAGGAGAAAGGATAATGTTAATATTTGAAATGGCATTCAGTAGAACCAACTAAAGGCATCTATGATTTGGTCAGTGGGATACTTTCTCCACTCAAACATGATTAAACTTTTTAGTTTAATAAATGATCTTGGAGAGTTTTATGGCTATAACATTAATTACCCTGCCACTGATCTGATGATGAGTCTCTCTGAACTCAACAAGGCTTGTCATTAGACAATAGAGGCTCCTGGCCCAATATAGCGCTTGTTTTAATTTTGGAACAGGAAAATAATTTTATATCATAGGTCATTATATATGCCTTTTCCCATTCTCTCTCCTTAGAACTGTGTTGAAAAGGGGGAAAAAATTACCAAGAAGGTTTTAAACTCAATGATCTACAGGGGTGGGAGTAGGAAATGCAGAAAGATTAGAAAAAATTTTCTCAATTAAAAACAGTTGCTTTGATTGATAGAGAAACTGATCAGGTTTAGAAATTGTTTTTGCCTTAGCATTTCATGCTTCTTTGTGTTTTGAAGAAATAATACAAGTGAAACTAATCAGGATTGAATACTCTGATTTAGGTTATTTGTTGGTGAAAATGTTCTCATGGAACTGTGAAAAGGTTCATGATTGCTGAGAATTTTAAGGCAAGAGAGAAAGAAGACATTTTTGAATTTTAAATATTTATAAGCTATTTTGGTAGAAGTGTATCTTTCCATGGGGAAAATTTTGCTTCAAAGTTGAATGAAATATGAAGAGATTAAATCTATCTGAAGTTTATTATAAAAAATGAAATCCACTAGACCAAAGCTAAAACTGTTTGGTTGTTCAAGGGGCAGTGGGTGAAAGAGGGAATTAAGCAGGGAGATCTGCTCAGTGTGACATACTAAAAAATGCTTAAGAGGGACACTTTTAGGTGTAAAAACAAATAGTTTGGGCTTTTTCTCAGAAGCCAGACTTAGGTCTTGCTTAGTTGACCTGTTTATGTTGCTACTGTAGCTCCTAGCATTTTTTTTTCCTTTTTGTTTCTATCTTTCCTCCACTATCCAACTCTCTTGTTTCCTCTCCTGGGCTCTACCTCTGTTCCATTTCTGCTGTTTGCATTCTTCAAATTTCCCAAAGAGTCTAGTTAAGCCAGAGATGTGGGTGAGGTTCTTTTGTGCCTTCACAAGAACTCCCCCAGTCTCCGGGATGCTGCATGAGTCACAATCACCCAAACTACCTACTGTCATAGTGCTTAAATCACAAATACTTGCCCTTGGTGAGCTTATAATCTAGTCTGGGAGAAAAGACATACTCAGAGGAAAAATTTGACCAAGCATATAAGGGTACAGTATGTAACTTGGTATGTGAATATGCCTTAATTTCAATTGTCCAAGGTAAATAAAACATTATGCACTTCGCTTGACTGTGTAGTATTTTGTGTGTGTGTGTGTGTGTGTGTGTGTGTGTGTGTGTGTGTAATATACAAGTTAGCCTAAAGTTGAGCTGAATATAAATGACTAGAGTCTCTTAAGTAATTTAAACTATTAAAGGGAAGGGATTAGTTTGCTGAGATTCTCAGATGAAGAAGAACTGAATTTTTTTGCCTTCTTTCAGGACAATATCATCTTATTCTTAAGAGGCTGCAAAGAGCTCGGGCTTAAAGAATCTCAACTTTTTGACCCAGGTGATCTCCAGGACACTTCAAATAGAGTAGCAGTCAAGTAAGTAATAATGCCCACTCATACATAGAGCAAGTTGTATATCTATTGTGTTTTTGGGCATTGTGGGGGGGAAGGTGAGCATGGTTTAAGAGGATTATTAATGTTGATAGGCATGTAACGATGATAAAAATCGAAGTTTCAGAACAACGTTTACACCGTTCTTTCTTGTGTACTTTTGGATAAAATCTAACACAATTCTTTCAGACACAAGATACTGTTCACAAAGTCCAGATTTTTAGAGAGTAAAAAAGGTTCTAAGGGAAGAAAGTAATGACATTTGTACAAAATCTCTTGTAGGTTAAAATCAATTTCAAGAAACATTTAGGGGCTACAATTTTGATCTTTTGAATAGGCTGTTTGAAGTTCCAAGAGAAGTAAACAAAGCTACACTCAATTGATTAAGCTGTGAAAGCAATTGATTGTGAAGAAATCTCTTTGTTTATATTTGCAACTACTCATTTCCTCTGTCAACTCTTAAGTTCTCTGAAAATGAATCCTTTACTGAGCCTATTGCTAACTACATCAATGCAACATGGCTATTCCAGTAATGCTCTGATTCCTGCATCAGAAAGTTAATAGTTAAATGAAAAGGCTTACTAGTTTCTAATGAAAGAGTTAGCTCATGGTCAGGATAGTAAAAAAAAGAAGTATCTTGTGACATCTTAGTAGTAAATTTAAAAATAAAAGTCCAGTCTGATTCCTGTTGCCTTGTGGAGGTGATCCTATTTTTTCTTTTTTTAAAATAATTAATTCACTTATTTTTAGTTTTAAACACTAACTTCCATAAGATTTTGAGTTTTAAATTTTCTCTCCTCCCCTCCCCCAAAGGCAGTGTGCAATCTGATATGGGCTCTACTTATACATTTATATTAAGCATATTTTCCCATTAATCATGATGTAAAGAACAATTAGAACTAATGGGAGGAACCATGAGAATGAAACAATAAAACAAAACAACAGAAGGAAAAGGAGAGCAAGTACTGTGCTTCCATCTACATTCAGATTCCATAGTTCTTCTGTGGATGTGGATAGCATTTTCCATAGTGAGTCTTTTGGAGTTGTCTTAGATCTTTGCATTGCTGAGAAGAGCCAAATCTATCAAAGTCAGTCATTGAACAATGTGGCTGTTACAGTGCATACCTGAGGTATTCCACTGATCCACCACTCTGTTTCTTAGCCAGTACCAAGTAGTTTTGATGATTGCTGCTTTGTAATACAATTTAAGATCTGGTACAGCTAGGCCACCTTCCCTTGCATTTCTTTTCGTTAGTTCCCTTGATATTCTGGACCTTTTGTTCTTCCAAATGAATTTTACTTTTTAAGGAGTTCTTCTCTTCAGTGAGTTTTTGTGCTTCCTTTTCCATTTGGCCAATTCCACTTTTTAAGGACTTGTTTTCTACAATTAATTTTTGTCCTTTTCCAAACCATTGACTCTTTCTTGTGTACCTCTAATTTCTTTTCCCAATTTTTCTTCTACTTCTCTCATTTGACTTTTAAAATCCTTCTTGAGCTCTTCCAAGAAGACTTTTTGGGCCAAAGACCAGTTCGTATTCCCCTTTGAAGTTTCAGATGTGGGTATATTGACAATCTTGTCCTCTTCTGAATTTGTGCCTTGATCTTCCCTTTCCCCATAATAAGAATCTGTGGTCATTGTCCATTTCTGCTTTTTGTGCATGGTGTTTGCCTATTTCCTGACTTTAAAAAAAGAAAAAAGTTGAGCTCTCCTGCTGGAGCGAACGGGGCACTTCCCCAAGCTTCTTTTCCTGCTCACCGGGGCCTTTCACTTGAATGTTTGGCTCCTGCTCTCCCGGGCCTTGCACAGGGATGTTTTACTGCTGGTTTTGCTTCCTGAAGTTGTGCTTCCCAGAGTTATGTTGAGGTATCTGATGATTTGGCTGCTTGAGAGCACCGTTGCCTGAGGTGGTTTTCTGAGCTGATGTCTCGCAGTTCCTCTGTCTGTATTGAGCCTCTCTGGAGGTCCTGGTGTTGGCACTTGCCTATTGCACCAACCTGGGTCTCAGGATCCCCCTGTTATGCTGAGGTGGGGCTTGCCGATGGCTTGCTGGGACACCTCCCATCCTGTACTGCTTCTCCTCCCCCAGAGCTAGAGGGGCCTTTCTTGTTAATTCCCCAGCTTCCTGAGCTACAAGACTGCAGTGCCCTGTCTTTTTGCTGGCTCAGGGTTTATCCTGGGTCGATATTTTCTGGGCTTTCAGAGTTCCATACGGGAGGGTGAGAGCGACTTACTTCTTACTCCGCCATCTTGGCTCCAGGAAGCCGAACCCCTATTTCCTTAATAGCTATTAAACTGGATTGATTTTATGGGCAGAAGGTAAGAGAATAGGCATCTGAGGAATGGTCTAGTTAAGTCTAGAAAGGCTTATCACCAGAAGGGTGTCTCAACCATGATAAATTTTTTTAGGGGGGAGGCACAATTCCTCTTTTTGTTATTCAGTTATTCAGTTATGTCCAGCTCTTCAAGAAGAGTTGCTGACTGCATTATTTAAAGGGGAGGACCTAAACTTAATAAATCACAGACTCTTCAGGTATTGAAAAATATAGTTTTTTAAATAGCTCGTCTTTGAAAATATCCAAATAAAAATTTTTCCTCTAATGCTCAATCCAGTTAAATTATGTTCTTATTTCATTGGAAACATTGTAGTACAGTGCAAAGAAACCTGGATTTAGAATTTGGTGTTTTGCATCCTAGTCCTAATTCTACCACTGTGTGGGGCTTTGCGCAGGTCACCTTTCGGAACTTAATCTTCTGTAAAGTGAGGGATTGTGTGCACAGAGTTTTAGTACTAGAACAGACTTCATACTGAATAATCTGATCTTCTGTGTCACCTAGCTGCCCCTCCTACCCCTTCATTTTACAGAGGAGGAAACTGAGAAACAGAGAGGGGAGAAGTGACAGGGACAGACTTTGGACCGAGGTGCTTGATTCCCTGTCTAGTGTGCTTTCCACTCTGCCACAATTCAAGGGGTTTTGACAATCCCTCTTTTATCCTGGAACTCTGGAACAAGGATCCTGGGTACTGGATAGATATATGCGTGTGTATATGTATATGTGTGTATACATATATATGCATATGTGATAGGTATCTGTGTGTATACACACATCATATATATGTATATATATGCATACATTTTATATATAATTATTGCTAGAGAGGCTGAACTTTGCTTGCCCTTTGAGACTTTTTCAGTTGAGCAAATAACCATGGTAAATAATTTGATAATCTTTGATTATCTTCTGATAAGAATGTGGTGTACTAAGTTGTAAGCAGTTTCCATGCTTGGTTTGGAACTTTTAACTCATATCAGGCCATCTGCAAATCAAAATATTCAGTTTTATAGTTTCAGAGAAGAGAGAAACTAGCCCCCATTTTGAATTTCATGGACTAATTGGCATTTTTGTTGAACCTAAAAGTCAGGTGGCTGTGAGTAATGGCAATTTAGTGATTTGATAGAAATGTTACACACATTTTCATCTAGGGAGTCAGAGAAAGCATACCTCACATAAATACACAAAATTTTAAAGCTAGAAGTCCATCCTTTGTAAAATTATGACCTTCATGTCATCTATGCAGGATTTTAGCAAGAGTCTAGTTCTAGGGTAATTCTAAAATCTATAATCATTTAGAACTTTAGAAAACAAAGATATTTCTGGGCAGTGTTCAGATCCAGAAAGCTCTTAAATTCAGATTGCAAAGAAGTTTATGGTAATTATAGTAGGACTATAATTATAAAAGAGGACAGCAAATGGGGTGGGGAGAGGAAGGGAGAAAGAGAGGGCAAAGGGAGAGAGGCAAGGAGGGTCCTAGGAGAAGAGCCAGTATGTTTCAATTATGTTGATACAATTACCTCACAATTAACTTCTGCCTTCTTATTTCTTCCTTCTTCCCACACTCCCCCCATTCTTCTTTTCTCTCTGGTCTTTCCTTCTATTTTAGTATCTTTCCTTCTATTTTAGTATCTTTCCCTCCTTTAATTCCTGTCATTCAGTTCTCCCTTTTCCCACCTTTTCCTGGTCTTTGACTTTTGTTTTCTTCACGCTTTCCCCTTTTCATTTTCCTTTTTCCTGTTTTCCGTACTAGCCCATAGGTTCCCAGAGTTGGCATTACTGCCTCCTGGGAGGCACTGGAATGATCCACAGGGGAGGTAGTATCCTCGGGTGCAATTGAGGGACGTTGAATAAAAATAAGGGGCGTTGGAAGCATAAGGAAGGAAGAGAAAATAAGAACATTTTGAAAATCCATTCATACATTTTTCATGTGTAACAGAGTTAAAGTTGTAGTGATTACATTATAGTCATTATGATTACATTATTTTCCAAATAAACACTGAAAATGCAAGTTATAACTGGTGAGTGGTCAAGTCTGCTAACAGGTTTTAACGAGCAAGTGTTGGCAGGCGAGCATGTCATGCATTGCATGCATCGCCAGTAATGTGTGGATGTAATGACTTGTTTACTATATGCTACTATAGGGTTACATGACACAATATTGTGTCATCAAAAAGGGGAAAAAACCACAAATTTACAATACATTATTGAATTTCAGATGTGTCATTTAAAAAAAACCCCAAAATTTTGTATTTTTTGAAATGACACAAATTTCCCCCCCCCAAGAAAAACCTGTTAATGAAAGTAAAGAAAGTAAAAAGAAAAAAAAAAACTACTAAAGAAAGTAGATTTCCAGGGGCCACTAAGTAATTATTTTTTTAAATAGGGCAGGCAGTAGGCCAAATAAGTTTGGGAACCTACTAGTCCATCACCTTCCCTGAAGTTCTTCCCTTTTCCTTAGCATGGTTTGAATATAACCATTTTTATATAAAGATTGCAATGCTGTTGTTCCACCCATATTGCCCAGAGAAATATTCTTCCTTTTGTTTCTGGGGTTCAGGATACGGGGAGAAGTCAACTACCTGTTCCCAAAGCCCTTCATCAAGGCTGTTGGTTTTATTTGTTATCATATCAGCCCCAAGATGCACTATACAAGGGGACATTGTTAAATTGTTATAGCAGTGCGAGATTGAAGCCATAACAGCATGTTCTTGAGTTATTTTTTTTCTTCTATTGAATCAGAAGAGCTGGTGAATACATAAAAGAATAATTTGTTATGTACATTATTGCATGATATAATCCATGACATATGGTAACTAATCTTAAAGAGCAACTATTGAAATTTTTTTATATGAAAGTTTAGTTTTTTTTAATAAGTAATGGATAGAACCAAAAATTATGAGTAAACGAAGTAAGGAATGATGAAGCCTATTTAAGAGCTTATACTGTTCAAAGTACATATAGCAGTGAAGGTTTCAATTAGAAATCAGATGGAAAGGTCCATTGGTCCTCATAGCACCAAGGCATATGGTAATGTACTTTTTTCAGTACTATTTCATATCTGTTGAAGCATTTGACAATGCCAAGGGTTTGGTGGCAAGGACCGTCTCACTATTTCTAATTTCTAATTTCATGTAATTTGGCTTGTATGTAAGGCAATTAGGATGAGGAATCAGAGCCAAAGTTTAGAAAGATATATTAATAAACATCATTCCAATGAAGTAAAATAATGATTTTCAGAAAGAGTATTGTAAGATTTTCTCAAACTATTCATTTATATTATTTTAGAAACATTTTTACTTTATTTTGTAATTATTCTGTATAATTAAGTGCAAATGTTCTATATGTATTTTCATATATATTTATGTATATTTATATATATTCACATGTATATGTATTCTATATATGAATATATAAAATTCATGTATCCTGTATGTGTTGAACATATAAAATATAGACCGAGGGAGTTGTAGTTTTTTAGAATAAACATTCAATGAAAGCAGCAAGGTTACACAGTGAATAAGGTACTAGGCCTAGCATCAGGAAAGCTTGATTTCAAATCCTGCTTCAGACACTGTATGACTCTGGGCAAGTCACTTAACCTTTGTTTGCCTCAGTTTCCTCAAATGTAAAATGGGAATAATAATGTCACTTGCCTCACAGGGTTATTGTGAGAATCAAGTGAAATAATATTTTTAAAATGCTTAGCACAGTGCCTGGCACTTAGTAGGTGCTGTATAAATGCTTATTCTCTTCCCATCCCTGTTTAGGTTCCCAGTTTTTAATTTTTAATTAATTAAATTTTTAAAAATTAATTAATTTAATTTTTAATTAAATTAATTAATTTTTATTAAAAGGAAATTGGAACCCATTATATTTGAATGATGGAAACTTCAAATGGATGCTTTTACCTGAGTGTTTAGAACTCTCACATACATAAATGTCTATCATAAAATAATCCTACATAAATATCTTTACATACTTTTGTCTCATTTTGGAAGCCTTCTTGTATTCATGCACATGTCATTGGAGTGTATACACACATATTGTAGTTAAAACTCCAACATTTGCTGATGTTCACAGCTTAAGTAACATAATTTATTAATTATATTGTTTCTTAAATATCTATTATCAAACTTATCATGATTTAAATAAGGTTTTTTGTGCTTATGAGAGGATCAGTAAATGAAAGTATTGACCGAGATCCCTAGAGTGAAATGCAAGACTTATGAAATATAGTTACCCTCTCCCTTACTAATTGCTTTGATAAAACCTATAGTTTTAAGCAATTAAGTTTTGATAATGTAAGTTTAAAATATATTTATATATTTATGAATTTAAAATTTATGAATCTAATTTTATTCCATGTTACAACCAGTAAATAGAATTTAATTTTAGAGAAAGTTAGATTAAGACCTAAGCTCAAGATGCAGATTTGACAAATACTGACTGTGTGACTAAGTCACTTAGCCTGTCACTGCTCAAGTCAACACTCTGCAACTCCTAAGTTGCAGAGGAAGTAGACTTGTAGAAATTTTTCATGTGTTCCTATAACAGTGAAATTAGAAGTCCAGTCCCTATCTTCATCTTTATATTTCACTAAGGTGCTATAATCATACCTTTCCTTCATGAGGTCTAAACTCTCTATTTTTATCTTCGTTCCATTTTTGAAATACTTAACATTCTCTCTCTCTCTTAAAAAAAAATATATAATATATATAATGTAAAATATCTTACTTCATATCATCTTTCTAGTTATTTTGTATTTATTAACTTCCAAAAATATTTTTGTATTTCTGGAGGAAAGTCACATGAGTTATACCCTTATGAGGAATTTGCTTTTCTAATTACTTTTCTTCTGCTTTTCTTATATAATAGGAGCATTGACTGTAGCAGAAAGCTGAAAAATGTAAGTTTCAATTTTCCTTTATACCTACATATAGATCTGTTTTATTGTATACCTCTGGTTTTGTTGATGATCAAAACTATAAATTCAGATTATGAGATCCCTCATTTACCTAAGAAGAACCTTCCTCAGAATACAATTAGTATTTTGCACCGATGTGGTAATTAATGACACTAATGGGAATGGAAATAGCAAAATTTTAGGGTTTCCGTATACTTTAAAAAATACCAAATTTAGAATGAAATGAAAGCTTATCTCCAGTGAGTGGTTGGGTTACTTAGAGATCAAGTAACATGTGGTAATAGTTACATTACACAGTCTCTCAACCAGGTTGGTAGACACAGAGGAGATTATTAAATTAAGACATTTGGGCAAATTGTTTTAAGAAAACAGTAGAATAAACTGAAGTGGCAACTATTGTAGGTAGGCTACATTTTTGCTGACTTAAGTTTTTCCACAGACCTTTCAAGTATTCAGAGATGTTTTCCGAAGACAAATGGAAACAATGTTCGTGAAATTACTTTGTAATTGTACAGTCATATGAAGCAAGGTTCAATTCTGAACCAGCATTTTCCAGTTGGGTTTCATTTACAAAAAGGCAAATAGGTTAAACCAATTCCATTTTAAAATTTAAATTGGAGAATATCAGATATGATCAAATGCTTCTAATATTGACAGAGAGTGTCTGAATTCTCTTGGTTATTAGCATAGTGGTAACTTGGGAGTTTGCGTTTTCATCCTGTCAGCTCATAAACTTGACTGACACCCCCTTTTCCTATTCAACCTCTTCCTCATGCTGAAATTCCCAAGGAGGTGTATGCCATTCTTCCAAGTAAAATTTCAATTGTATTAAAAAAGTCCATAGATTAAAGTTGCCTGTCTTTTAATGCCTTTGTGTCTGCCGTTATTTGCCAAATCATCTACTACACTTAGTGTACATTAGAGTTATATTATTATGGTCTTGGTTAATGTACTGACATTTGGAGGATTTTATTCTCTGGAAATTTGCTTGCTAAATGTATTCAAACTCCAAGACTTACATGGAAATAGGTGTTTTGGGAGAGTCATGAAGGTCCTGCAGAAGTATGAAATCAAAATTTAATTGAAGCTGTGATACAGATGTCATATTTTAGAATTATTGCCATTTGAAACTATGTAAATGCTGTGTTCTTCAAAATATATTCAGACCTGCTTAATGAAGGAAGGCGAGACAGAATGAGTGGCGACTCAACTAAATATTTAGAAGTCTCACTAATTTTGCTAACAAAACAGTGGTGAGGATGGAAATGAAATAACAACCTTGCCTCTGCTGAGATTTTCGGACCTGGATGATTCCCTTCTAAGGGACTAGCCCTCATCTGAAGCCTTTCTGGCCTTGATTTGGGGAATGCAACTTGTATGGATTTTTTGTTTTGTTCTGTTTTGTTCTGTTCTGTTTTGTTTTGTTCTGTTCTGTTTTGTTTTGTTTTGTTTGTGTGTTTTTTACTGAAAACTTTATTTTGAGGGATAGGAAAACCACCCTAACTTGGAACCACAGTTTCATGACATTGAACTGAACATAGAAGATTGATGAACAGTTGAGATGTTAATCGGTATCAACGTCAGCATTGGCATCAGCAAGGATAAAGTCGTTGAGTTCCAGAGTTCATAGAATTTAATTGTTAGTTCAAATCAAACCCCAAAACTCTTCTGATTCTACCACTTGTTACATCCCTGGCTTACAGTTGTGTAGTTATTGTTGTTTTTTTCCCTGGCTTTACCCAAATGCCATTTCATGGTAGGCATGCTGGTGACTTACAATCTAATTTCATTCCTACATGTGTTGTTTTTCCCATCAGTACTATGTAGAAAAACCTCTATGTAGAACTGAGACTACATCTTGGCCTTAAAATAATCTGCAGTGTTTCTTTAAAGTTATTGGCAGATTGCTCTGGGTCAATGAAGAGTCCAAGCAATTGCTGAAATTTTGCTTGTTTAATTTTGAAACACTTTCATTCTTTGAAAATAATGTTGTAGGATTTTCTGGTCTTTCTTTCAGAGGCCTTTCCCATTAGTAAACTTTCCCTAAAACCTTAGTCCAGTGTTAACTACTGAATCTTGTTTGTGCGGACTGACATGACATTAGGTTCTTATTAAAATGAATTTTGCATTTAATAGGTACCTCATGGATGGTGAGCTTTCTATAAATCAATATCAGACATTCTCCCTCTTCTGCCTTCCTGTTAGTGCCGAGTATAGATTCCTTAGCAAGTCAAAAAGTAATCTTACAAAGAGATTCTGTACTTATTCCTCTTTTCTTTTTTTTCTCAGGTATTAGTTACCATTTACTGGCTGGGGAAAGCAGCAAACAGCTGCACAGCATATAGTGGAACCACACTGAATCTAAAGGAATTTGAAGGATTGTTGGCACAGATGCGAAAGGTAACTGTACTCTTCATCTTTAGCTTATGAGGGCTGTTAAAGGATGAAAAGAAACAAGCTCTATTTTGAAGGGCATTTCAGTTCAGCTTTGCAATATTTCATGGGGGCACAAATGTTTCAGACATGTACAAACCACCATGTTTTAAAATTGATTAAATCTTTGCCACATGCATCCCCCACGTATCTGAACTGTCTGGCCTTCACATCCAAGAAAATTGAGTTCAATTAGGATTTGATAACCAAAGATCTAATTCAGCCTAGAGTTGTCTTTTCCTGGCCTAGGCAAAATTTGTCAATGCTAATTTTTTTTTAAGAAGGGAACAATTTGATTAAAACAATGCAGTTTTTATAAAAAATGAAACCTTATCTTACACCTTAATTTTAAAAATCATTTTACTCAGTCTTTATAACTAAGGGCTTTTTCTGGACATGACATAGGATCTGGAAATCTGGACAAACTAAAAAAGTTCTCTCTCCATTGCCAACATACATTATAACCATGACACAGTAATGAATTGGATATTGAAAAGACAATTCATCAGCCTAATATAATTTTCATTTGTACAATACAATTATCAATTTGTAGAAAAACCAGTTGAATTTTTTCATAAGTCTGAGTTTGAGAATTTTTTAAAATGTACTGCAAATTTGTTTTTATCTTGAATTATATATACAGCAACTTATGAGATCTGCTAACAATATTTCCCAATAAAAATGCTGTTGAGGCAGCTTTGATGTATAGATACAGTATGTTTTTAATTAACAGCATACATTTATATACATCAAGGGTTTATGTGGTTGGGAGAATATTTTAGGGTCTTTGAAAACCAAATTGATTAAAAAGCTTCTTGAAATGGGGATACTAGAATGCATATATCAAGGTATATCTGATTGTTTTAAGAAGTGGGGTAGGAAACAATAATAATGGTAATGCTAACTGACATTTTATAGCACTTTATGCAAAGCACTCCACAACGTAGGTCAAACATATTATCCCTGTTTTACAGATGAAGAAACTGAGGCTAAGAGGTTAAGTGATATTCTCTTGGCCACTAGCAGTTTCTTCTGGTAAGGATTCAATTTGAATCCGGGTCTTTTTCGTTTTAAGTTCAGTGCTCTATCCACCCTTCCACCCTGTTTCTCAATCTATGACGGTACTTAGGAAGTCTGATTGTTCAGTGTTGTACTTGTTAAGATATTACATTTCATACAGTAAAGCATTTCCTGAATTTGACTAGTGTCCCATCTCTCAGAGTGTGCATTAATCTTCAAAATCTCTCCTGCTCACAGTTTTATACTAGCTCTAAACTTTCCTACTAGTAATGGAAATAATCAGTAGTATTTATGTAGTGCATTGAGGCATTTAAAGAGCTCTGTTTTACCTAAGGGAATAGAATCAGAATCATAACGTTTTAGAGCTGAAAAAAGGTTATAGAGGTCATGTAGACTAGATCATTGACTGACTGATCGATGGAGCCCAGGTCTCGGTCTTTTGTCCAGGCCGAAATTGCAGTGGCCATTCATGTACTCTGTCCCAATTTTTGATCAGCATGGAAGCTTTATCTTGCTGTTTCCAATCTCCTTAGGTGTTCTGGGTCCTCCCATGGTTCACTGTATTGGTGCTGGACTAACTGTGGCTGCCCAATTGACTTTAGCCTCACTGAATCTCAAACAGAGCTCCTCAGTCCACACAGGCCAAGAGCCTCCACCTCTGTGGTAGCAGAGTATTATTGATATGTGCTACCATACCCTGGTGATCTGCCTTTTTGTTTAACAGCGGAAGCCTAATTCAGCATGCCCCATACGCTCACATGAGTTGTAATTGTTTTAGATAAATTAAAATAAATTGTTATCCACAAGTGATACTACTGATATTTTTACCACATTAAAATTTGTCTCTAATTTAAGAAGAAATATAGGAGAGCATTCCACACATACATATAAATAAGTTTTAATTACTTCAGTATTTTCAGCATCTGTAATTTCATAGAATCCCAGATGTCAGGCTGAAAGGGACCTTCATATGCATCTGGTTCAACTCCTTCATTTTACAAATGAAGATACTGAGACCCAGGGAGGTTGTGACTTCCCTAGTGTTAGAGAAGTAGTGAATATCAGAGGTGGAATTTGAACTCAGGATCTTCTGGCTCAAGGCAACACTCTTTCCTCTGTATCATACTACTCCTGAGGAATTTCCCTTTTATTGTTGTGTTCATACACAGCCCAATCCTCCTATGCCTTTGTAGATGTTTACTGCTGCCAAAAATGAATGAATGAATGAATGAATGAATGAATGAATGAATTTTGAATGAACGAACTAATTTATGGCCCAACTTGTAGGCATGAACCTCTTCAAACTTAACTAGGCTGGTCCTTGGAAGGCAGATGTGCAGTCCATCACTGGGTCTGCCTGTATGTGTGGTATGTGTGTGTTATGCAGATTTAGCCTGTATAAATATACTTACATGTGTCTATATGCAGGCACGTACAGGGGAACGCCTAGTGAAATGGCTGCTCACAGTGGGAGAGAAAGCTGGCCAACAGCAGGGAGCTCAGAAAGTGATGTTGGCTTCAGCCTTTTAACAGATTGTGTATTCTCCCTGCACGTTTTGGTTCAGCTGGGCACTCGGGATAGCAGATAAGAACTTAACCTGTGCCCTCTCCCTCTCGTGTCCAGAATTCTTTTCGTCAGGTCCTTCACTAGCAGATAGGTATCTGAGACCCCATTGTAAGCCTGCCAGAGTCATTCCGGTGGGCGATCAGGGAAGAAAATGCAGTGCTAGGATGGTACTTTGGCATAGGGGGTTTGACTCATTTCTGGGGCCCACACATATATTTCTGTCTGTGACACAAGACACTCACTCTACATTTAGATTCCTAGGGGAGGGCGCTGGCCAAGGATGACTACAGGTGGCTGAGTTTTCGTTTTTCAAATGGGCCACGCCATGCTGCTCTGTTTCCAGTTTCAGCACTCGATCCAAGTTTTCTGTTCTTGGCTTGCTGTGCAGTCATGAACATAGCTGACTTTTGTACTGTTTTTCTTTCCATAACTAGCCTTGTGAGAGCAGATGGAGCTCAAAGTATCCTATTGACTTACTTCCACCACCCTCCACCCACTTTCCTTTCTCCTGTAGTTGGGGGAGAGATACTTGAACTCTTCTGATAGTTTTCCCCCTTGAAAACTCATTCTGATAGTGAGATGCCAAATAACTGTGGACAGCTAATTTTAGATGAGGTCAACAATACCTAGATTTTTTAGGTTAACTACAGTCAACTTTGAATATTTTGAAGTGGATTATCACACTGATCAGTGTTGAACTGTATCTGAAGTAACTAATAAATAACAACAATCTAAGAGAGAAATGGAGGCAGTTAGTTGGCTCAGTGGATAGAGCATTGGGCCTGGAGTCGGGAAGACCTGAGTTCAGATCTAGCCTCAAGCACTCACTAGCTGTGTGACCCTGGGCAAGTCACTTAACCTTCCTTTGCCTTGGAGACAGCTAGGTGCTGGGCCTGGAGTCAGGAAGACCTGAGTTTAAATTTGACCTCAGACATTCATTAGCTTCATAACGGTGAACAAGTCACTTAACCCTTTTTGCTTCAGTTTCCTCATCTGTAAAATGAGCTAGAGAAGGAAATGGGAAAACCACTCCAGTATCTTTGCCTAGAAAACCCTATACAATGTCACAATGAGTCAGACATGGCTGAATGACTGAACAGCAACAACAAAGAGAGAAATGGGATAGGACATAGGCTGAGTGTCCGAGTGTATTTTCTAAGATTTTGTATTTTCTTGACTGTATGGAATAGAAGATAGAGGGCTGGCCTTGGAGTCAGGAAGACCCAGGTTCAAGTTCTTCCTCTGACTCAAAACTATGTCTTCAACCCTGCTTGAATCTCTAGCCCTTCAGCACCTCCAGGCAGGTCTCCAGGATTAGAATTTGCAGAGCACTTGCAGATTAAATGAGATAATGTGTGTGTAGGGCTTTTTGTTGATCAATCTTAAGACCACAGAAATGTTGATCACTTTTCTGCCTCCTATACCAATGAAACCACAGATGTGAAGAGAAAGAAAATTGCCTTTAAAAAGGCATATCATTTTTGGGCTATAAATAATTTTATAATCTCTACGGAACTAAGGACTGCTTCTAAAGGACAGTACCATTCAGAGAATAGTCATAATACTGTATATTTAATAATAATAATAATAATAATGTTGGCAGTGATACTGATGAAAGCATTAGCCCACAAATTATCAGACCAAAAGATTTATTCGGTTTTAGAATTTATTCACTTTTGGTCTGTAAAATACTAGCAGCTAGGGGCACAATGGATAGAGTGCCAGCCTAAAGTCAGGAAGATCTGTATTCAAAACTGCTACAGAAACTTAGTGGCTCTGTGACCCTGAGTAAGTCATGTAACCACTGTCTGCCTCAGTTTCCTCATCTTTAAAATGAGGGTAGTAATGGCACCTTCCTCCCAGGGTGTTGGGAGGATCGGATGAGATAATAATTGTAAAGCACTTAACACAGTGTCTGACACATAGTAAGCACTACATAAATGTTAGTTATTATTTTTTTTTATAACTGTGGTATCTCTCTTCAGAGCAAAGTTCCTTGAAGTTTCTGTAGTGATGGAACCTTACAGTAAAATTCTTTCAAACTATTTTAATGCTTATTAATAATTGTCCCAGAAAACCAATTTCTTAAAATTATGTTTTCTGAGCATTTTTTCAGAATTTAACTATATTTAAAGCTTATTTTTTTAAAAAAAGTTTTGTTACTGATGTCATTTTTTTTACATCACTGTAGCTTCCCTCAGTATCCCTTCTGTTACCTCTTTCCAAAGAAATATCACATGTAACAAATAGTCTTTTTTAAAAACAAAAATGGAAGAAATCAACATAATTAGTCAATCCACCTAAAATGTCTGAAAATATGTGTAATGTGCAACACTGATGAACCTGTGGACAGGGTAGAGTTGCAAGTATCTTCTTACTTAAGTTGCAGTTCTTCTTTCAATTCTTCATAATTTTGGATCATTCACTTAAAGCTTACGTATTGAGAAGGCTACATTTGTTTTTTTTTATAAGCCAGTCAATCAATTTGTAATTTTAGTTTTATTATTGTGTAATTTCTAATTATATGTATATATAATTATTAATTTAATTTCAATTAATTAAATATTAAAATATTTAAAATTGGGAACATATTGGAGGTGATAACTTACTTTCCCCTCTTTATTTATATAGGTCATTATGTTTTGGTGGGTTTTCAAGTTAATTGAAAATAAGGCTTTTGCTTTTAAATTTTGTTTTGTATTTAAATGCCTTTGTAGTCATGCTGACCATGAAATTTTTTTTTTCATTAACATGAAAGAAAACCCCAAGCAAGAAAACCCCAAACTGGTGATCGCTATCACATTCCAAGTTCTTCTCTGTTTGGGATTTTATACTCAGTCTGGGTATGGGAATATTTGCTTCTTAGTTGTAAACACTTTTTTTCTTGTCTTCTTGATTGTGACCAATTATCCCTTATGAGAATTGATAGAAATATAGTGAACAAATGCATGTACATTATATTTTAAAGAATCAGCAAAGACTATAAAGGGACAGATGATTATTTGCCATTATCAGACATATTAAGTGATTGATTCTAAACCAATAAGAAGCCAGCCTTTTAGTCACAAGGTTAATTTTGTCCAATCGCTGGTGTCTTTTCCCATCCATTTGAGCACACACAATTGTACACAGCGGACACAACAGTACAGTAGTTGGGTTTGTCTGATGTGCATGCGTATCTTTTGAACTTTTGTCTCTGTGGAAGCCCCCTCTCCTCCCGCTGCCCTGAATTTCTTAAACCCTCATTTGAGAGGGGCTATTTGAAAGCATCTTTCCTATGGCCACGCGCAGGATTGTCAGCTCATTCTCTAGTTGCACTCAGTCCTCTCCCATGAAAGAGTTAGAGGGTGCTAATATTTCAGTCTTGCCCTTTCCATCTCACCCACTCTTCTTCTTAGGGCAAAACTTTTGTCTGTCTATGCACATTGCAGCTACCCCCACCACCCCAGCATCCTCCTAGGCTGAGATGGGGGTGGGAAGCCTTTACATCAGCTAGACTGAGACACAATTGATGTGGTAGCACACTCTTCCCAGAAGGTGGTCGCTGCAGCTGCCTTGGCTCTTGTGGGCCTAGAGGACTGCTCCCACCTCTGCTGACTAACTCTCCATTAGTTTTAAGAACTTTTCACATTTTGAATTATCTTTTCATCTCTGTAGTGTGGGAGGACATCTTGAAATGAATTTGTAATCATCTCCAGAAATTCCAAGTTTCCTGTTTCAGACTTTTCAACTTAAAAAATGCCAATCTGTGAATGTCTGATTTTTAAGTGACCGTCTGGGAAGTGAGATTTTGTGGGGAGGGGGTTGGTTAAGAAATTAAATCGAGGTTTATCTTTGAATGACCATAGTTATTTTTGTTTTCCTCAGCCTGGGCTGTTGTAATTAATGCTAAGACACTGGCTAAAACAAGGGATTTATTATAACACGAGGGTGAGGATGGCTTCGACTGACCTTTCTCTCTGCTGGAGTTTCAGTGTTTTAGTATGTGTTGCTTGTGCTGGAAAGAATTTATAATCACAGGACTGTCAAAGACAACCATTGTTCTCCCTGCTCTGAACATGTGGGTCAGCTCCAAGTGCTTTCATGTCCCCCTAGAGCCAAGAGCTGGCAAAGAGGGAAGAGCTTGACTGAATTCTTCTGAGGCATCGGGAGAAGCATTTTGCATATTTTTCCTTGCTGATTGCCTCCGAAAGACATCTCTCTTTCATAACAGGAATTTCCCTTCGAGGTAGCGGGAGAGTGGGAGCCCACTAGCAAGGATCTTGCTCAGTTGATTCTCCAGCATAAACAAGTGCTTGCCTGCCATCAGCCAGATAGAATGGACTAGACAGGAGCAGTCCTGTGGCTAAGCCAGCAGCTTCTCTCCATTCTAGACATGTAGTTATGGATCCCGAAAGACAAATCAAGGTTAAGGTCTTATACTTCGTCATTTCTCTTTTCATTTGCTGATCACTTTATGCCTTTTCTTGTCATACTCTTTCATCTTAATCATTTATGTGATTCAAAGATTGGATGACTGGAGGTGTATGTGTGGTGGGGGCGGGAATTGGGTTGCTTTGGAAATTTTTATTATGATTGTATGTGTTTTTATAGTGGTGAGAATTCAGAAAGAGAGGACAGATGGAGGAAGATTATCAATAACTTTAAAGTGGCAGCCACATGTAACTCTTACATTCTTATGTCAAATAAAGGACAATTACGTATAAATGTATCATGTGTAGAGACTACATAGATTTGGACTTTATTAGTTTCCGTAACTTTTTTTTTTTTTTTTTGGATAGGAGACTGATGATATTGAAAGCCCTAAACGTAGCATCCGAGACAGTGGCTATATAGACTGCTGGGATTCTGAGCGCAGTGATTCCCTCTCTCCACCGCGGCATGGTCGAGATGATTCTTTTGACAGTCTGGACTCATTTGGCTCCCGTTCTCAGCAGACACCCTCCCCAGATGTAGTCCTCAGAGGAAGCAGCGATGGTAAGTTGCTGTTGTAATTAATTACAAGTCTCAGGATTAAATGTTCACAAGGAATTTGTTGTTGGGGGCTAGACTTTTAGGTTTCATCTTAGGGATAATCTAGCCAGGTAAATTCTATAGTCTGGTAGATGAAAAAATGTTTGGGGGTTAAAAGAAAAAAATGTTGTTTTAGTGATGCAAGAGGTTTTGATGACTTTGCCAGAAGTTTGTTTGAACTTTGCCTCAGTTACTGTATGTGTTGTTGGAAAATGTGTTACATCATAGTACTGAACTGTGATTTATGAAACCATGCCTCTCTGGGCTTCAGCAAAACAAGATGCTGTGCAGACACATTAACTCATAAACTTTCCTAAAGGTTTATATATTCCAGGTACCAGTAGGGGAAATGTTTAAATGAATATCACACCATCTACAAAAAAAGCTCAACTTCAAATAAATTGAAAATGAATTTTTAAAAATGATTATGATCTTGCTGAACCATGATATTATGGAACCTTGAATGGGGTTCTTTTCAATAATTTGTTTGATATGTAGGGCTCTAACAGATTGATTAGAAGTTTCAATAGTTATTAAGACAACAGTGGATAACACAGCCAGCTTGTATGTTTGTTCCCAGGGCACATCTGATTTAGATAAAATTGATTTTAAAATCACCAGGCAAGAACTGATCTAAATGTTCCCTTTTCATAATACCTTCTGTTGCTTAATTCAACTGTATTACACATTCTCCATGACCCATTTCATTCAATACCTGTTCATTGTCTGGGAGATGGAGAGAGGAGATGGCTTCACTCTACATGGACCAGCTGGTAGAGAGACAACTGGGCTCTATTAGAATGGCCTTGAATTTGTACATACTGCCTGTTAGTACTTCTGAAACTTGTAGCTATAGTTTGAGATCCAAAAGAGGCTTTTGTATGGTCTCTTTTCTTCAAGCTGTAGTACTGGGATTCTGTGATCTCTCTGTGGTGTTTCCTTCAGTTTCCTCCAGCTTGAAGCCTTTCTTGATTCTCCTCTCCACCAAAAATATCTTTATTCTCCCCCCCTCCCAGATTATCCTGTATTTATTTTGTAAATATATGTATATACATAGGATCATAGATTTAGAACTGGAAGGGGCTTTAGACTAACCATCTGGTCAAACCTCCTCATTTTATAGATGAGAAAACAGAGGCCTGGGTAGGTCAAATAGCTGATTGAAATTTACCTAGGTTACATAGGCCCAGAAGTGGAATTTGCCCCTAAGATCCTCAGATTCCAATAGAACATAAGCTCCTGGAAGACAGGGACTATTTTGAAAATGTACGTCTTTATGTCTCTAGTACCTAGTACAATGCTTAGTAAGTGCCATCACTTAATAAAAAATTTTGTTTGACATTAAAAAATGAGATTATGAATTGAAAACTAAAATGGACCTCAGAGGTTATCTTGTCCAGAGGTGTCAAAGATGTGCAGCCGGAACCAGATGAAAATGTAATTCAGAAATAATTAACAAAACAAATAAAACTCCAGTAAAATAGATAAAATTAATATGTGGTTTTCTAAGCCAATATGTGGCCCACCGAGTTCTTTATATACAGTTTAGGGGACTCATTTCTATTCTATATACCGCTGATCCAGTCTGGTTATCTCATATATAGATGAGGGCCAGTGAGAATAAAGTCATTGCCAAAAGTCATCCAGGTAGTAAGTAGCAGTGCTAGAATTTGAAGCTCAGGTCCTCTGACTCCAGAGCAGATCTTCTTTCTCTACTATATTATGCTACTCTAGACGATCTGAGCAAATAAGTTGTGCAGCGAATAGAGTGCTGGCCTTGGAACCAGAAAGAATGATTTCAAATCCAGCCTCAGATAAGCTCTGTGAACCAGAGCACAAGTCATTTGACCTCTCTCTTCCTTGGGTTCCTCATCTGTAAAATGAGAATAATAATCACACCTATCCTGGGTTGTTGTAAGGATAAAATGCAATCATATTTGTATAGTTCTTTAAAGCAAACCTTAAAGCCTTATGGAAATGCTAACTGCTGCTGCTATTGTTACTGTTGTTATTTATGAAACTTTTGGAAATCATGGATTAGACTTCCATGTGCAATTGTCACCTATTCATAAAACAGTTCCAAAATGGGAAAAGGGAAGAGAAGAATAAGCATTTATATAGAGCCTATTATGGGTCAGACCTGTGCTAAGTACTTTACAGATAATGTCTCATTTGATTCTCACAACCACTTGCGAGGTAGGTGCTAGTATTATCCTCATTTTTACAGTTGAGGAAACAGACAGAGATTAAGTGATTTGCCCAGCAGTCACACAGCTAGTGAGTGTCTGAGGCCAGATTTGAGCTCAGGTCTTCCTGACCCCAGCCCCAGTGTCCTAACTACTGTACCACCTAGCTGTCCCATATATCAGTTTACAAGGTCATTTAATATATATAATTTAAAATAAATACAATGTTACTTATAGCTGGTTTTTTGATATTGATGTATTTGATCTTCAGGATAGCTTATAACATCTTTCTATGGAATTTTCATAAATTTCAATAAAAATTTTAAAATTTAATATTTTAGATTTTGGGGAAAAAAAACAACTAATGGTTATTAGGGTTTAAATTCAACTTACTTATTCCATTACTACGAAGTGAGTCTTTATAAAGCTATTATTAGGGGCAGCTAGGTGGTGCAGTGGATAGAGCACCGGCCCTGGATTCAGGAGGACCTGAGTTTAAATCTGGCCTCAGACACATAACACTTACTAGCAGTGTGACCCAAGGCAAGTCACTTAACCCCATTGCCTAGCCAAAAAAAAAGGGGGGGGGAAGAAAATTATGCACTTTACCCTTCTTCATTCCTATATTGCCATTCACATTCTTCACGATCTTTCAGAGATCACTGATAATAACTGAGTAGTTAACATCTATTAGTTCACTAGTGCCTTGAGATGTAGATCTTATAGGCTTGGTGGTTTGAACTCATCACAGGTAGAGCCTAACTAATTTGGTAGCAACTATTTTGAATATCAACTCCCTTCTTACAATTTTTGTTTTATCCTTTCTGGACCAAAAACCATGACTAAGTAGGCAGACTACAAAATGATTTGAAGAGGAAAAGAACCCTAGGACCTAAGGGGATCAGGAAATGTTTTATTGTGGAGTTGATTTGTGGAGACAGAAAAGGATTTTGCGAACTGCAGATGCATTCCAGGCTCTGGGGCGGGGAGGCATAGGAGACAGCAAAGAGAACACCTGAGAGATGTTGAATTGAGGGAATGGGTGGTTGTCTAGTTTGGTTGGAATGAAAAATTTGTAAAGGGACTAGTTTCAAGTAAGGCTGGAAAGACAGACTAGAGCCAGATTGTAGAGGGCTTTACATACCAGAAAGATGAGTTTGAATTTTGGACCAGACACAGCAGGGATCCACTGAAGGATTTTGAGTTGGAAAGTGACCTTGTTAAAGTTGTGCCTTAGTAATCATAGAGTCTTAAGAGTTTGAAGTGCCCTCAGAGGCCATCGAATCCAGGGATTCATGAGCTCTTTGTGTTATGGACCCCTCCTTTGGCCAGGTAGTAAACCCTATGACCCCCTTCTCAGAATGATATTTTTAAATGCATAAAATAAAATACCTAGGATTACAAAGGAAATCAAAGGTTAGTGCAAATAAAAGTGTAATTTTTCCCCAGCCAAGTTTACAGCCCCCTATGAAATCTATCCACATATCCCTTTGGTGTGTTTGAAGATCTCAGATTAAGAACCCCTGATCTAGCCTAACCATACCATACCTGGCCAAGAGTTGCTTCTATAGTATTCCCAAGAAGCGGTCATTCAGCTCCTGATGACCTCCATTTAAAGGGAAGCATACCACTTCTTGAGGCAGCCTGTTCCACTTCTTTATGGCTTTAATTAATAGAAAGTTTTCCCCACCGTATGTCAAGCGTCAATGTCCCTCTCTCCAACTTGTACCAATTGCTCTTCGTTCTAAGATCTAGGGTTAAACAGACCAGGTGCTATTGTGTACCCTGTAAATCTCTTCTTCAGCCTCTCACTAGCTTCCCCTTCTACCTCACAACCCCTGGATTATCCACTGTTTCAGCTTATTAGGGCTTTAGTTTGCTATGCATCTGCATCAGTTTCTTTTAACTACTCATCATTTTCCTTCTCACTAGAATTGTCGTCAGAATTGAATTCCTGAGAGATTCTGATCCCTCTTGGGTTTCCCTGTAGAATTTTAGATCATGGAATACATTCTTCTTATTGTGTCTCTCAATTCTTTATTATCTGTTCTCCTCACATCTGTGGTAAACGTGAGCCTACACCTAACTTTCCTTCTGTATCACAAATTTTAAATAGCATTCCCCCTTTCTTCCAACTTCATTTTTACCCTCTCAACCAGTTCCTTCCTTTTAAGTTCAGAACAGAAGTTTCCCTTGTTAATTTCTCCACATTTTGAATGAGGAAATTATATTTAGGCAGGTAAAGAAATAATTAGTTGCTTTGCTTCAAGCATAGAAAGCTCTAGATTATCTGGATGATTGAATTTTCCTATCATTACTTTTATGTGCATCCACTCCAGGGTTATGGTATATTTCCTGACTTCATCTATTGCTTCTTTCTCCCGCTGTGGTCTTTGCTATTACCTTGGTTATACTATTATTTTTGCCTTTGCTCTGTTTCTTCATCCAAATGTTCTTCATTGTAATCTCTACCACTCCTATCCCCTTTTCTTGTATTTCCTCACATAATATTTGTTGTTTTAGATGGGGGGAGAAAGGAATGGAAGGGGTCTGGACCTGTGTTTTATTGGTGTAGGGAAATGGAATTTACAACAAAGATATGAATACAACGACTAAAGCTGTTTCTACTTGCAATGAGCTTGTGTTCTAATGATGAAGACAGCAAGTGTGTGTGTGTGTGTGTGTGTGTGAGTGTGAGTGTGTGTGTGTGTGTGTGTGTATCTAATCAGGATGAGTTAACAATAATCTAAATAAGAGACGATGGAGGTCTGAGCTAAAGTTGTACCTGTGTAATATAGAGAAGGAAGCAAATGCAAGAGATGGCGTGAAGAAGAAACAGCAAGATTTGGCAACTAAATGCATAAGTGAGATGGCATAGAATGGTGAGGAGTCAGGGCAAAAAGTGACATATGGGAGAGATGCTGTGGAGAAAGAAATCAGAAGATTTGTGTCTTGTTAGTTAGCATCCTTAGGGCCGATTAGTCGTTAAGAGTGTCTGCCCTGAATTGGGTTGAAAGCCAGATCATAACCAAAATGGAGCTTGGGAGGAGCTTTTTCAACATGTCAGGGAGCACTTATTAAGTGCTTACTACATGCCAGGCATTGTGCTAAGTGCTAATGAAGAAAGAAAAGTAAAAAAACAGCCCCTCCTGTCAAAGAGCTCACAATCTTATGAAGGATTTGACATGAAAATAATCATGCACAAATAAGGTTTATATTGGACAGAGTGAAGGCACTAGCGTTAAGGTGAGATTTTTAGTTGGGAATTGAAAGAAACCAGAGTAAGCCAGGAGACAGAGATGAGGAGGGAGATGATTCCAGGAAGGGGGACAGCTAATGAAAATTCCAAGAGCCTGGAAAAGGGGTGTATTTTGTATGAGGAACAGCAAGGAGGCTGATGGCACTGTATCCAGCTGAATTCCTGTCCCCAACGATTAGTTAGATTTGTCTGAGCTGAGTCCTTGATATCTTACATATAGCCCTGTCAGAGAGTGTGAATTTGCCAACTGTATACAACTTATAGAGATGTAAATAAGATATGCTGTACTAATGATGGCCAATCAAGGAATGAGACTCTCTTAAACCAGTTGCCCGGGGCTGTAGGTGGCTAACCTGACATTTGCTCATTATTTTCTCTTTTCTATGAGCGTGATCCGCTGTTACAATTCACAATGATATGTCCTTCCCAGCATATTCACAAATGTTGGCTTGTATCTGGTTAAGGTAGTACTCTATTGTAGAGTTTTAGGGCTGGTTAATTGCCTCAGTATTTCTCTTGCCTGCCACCTAAGTGTTTAAGTTCAGATGAAGATTTATCCTATTGTACCCTATTTTTTTAAACCTATGAAGAAAGAGATTTTATAACCTCACTTTGGTAGTCCATTCCAACAACTAACAATTTTGCAATAATAACTCTTGGGGAAATTCTTCCATCTCAGCTGAATTTCCTCGTGCTATAATTCAGCCCCCCTTTTTCTCTTCTCAGTGGAGACTTAAGAGTAGGTGGTCAATTCTTCATCATCCTTTGTATGACAGTGTATCAAATATTTGAGAACAATTTTAATTTTTACTTTTGGAAGTAGGCTAATTTCAAGTATCATCTCTGTAGTGACGTGAGGTTCCCATTGCTAACTGTCTGGCATCAAATAAGAGCTCGCTGTGTTTTTCAAAATCTTCCACAGTTTGGCTCCACCAGACCTCTCCAAACCTTACTTCTTTCTCATGCCTTAAAATAAGCCTTGTCTTCCAGCCAGGCTGACCTCTGTACTGTCTCTTCTATATCAGATGCTTGTTCCTACCTCTGTTCCTTTTTTTTTTCCTTACCTCTGTTCCTTTGCTCTGACTGTCCCTACCTTCTGGACCATCTACATTCATTGACTACAATTATCTAAGTCCTTCCTCTTCTTTAAGGTCCATCTTGAAGACTTCATGGATTCATACCTACTAATCTCTCCCTTCTTGGAATTCCTGTTATACTTGAACATCTGCTTCATGATTCCATATTATTTTACTTGTTAAACGTTTCATGTATATTCATGTCTTATAGCACCCAATTAACGTCATCCTATCTAATAAATTCCATGAGGGGCAGAAGAGTGATATCCTATATATTTGGATACTTCACAGTGCTTGACATATCAAGAGTAGATACTGAATAAATAAATATATGGTTGGTTGATTTATATTTAATTTTTGAAGTATAAGTATCAATGGAAATGGAAACGGCCAAAAAGAAATCTTTACCTTGTCTAATTATAATGAGACCATACTTGGCCATAGAGAAGATTTGAAAAAAAGTACCCTCCCCTCTCTTCATTGTGGAGGCAGCAGACTATGGGGTGTGGTGTATTGCATATACTATCATTCCAGGTATTGTATAGCTTCGCCCAACTGTTTTTAAAAAACCTTTGTCAAAAGAAAAGATTCAATAGGTATGGAAGGGGTTATATTATGAAATGAACATGGTTTTAAAAGGTGACGATGAAATAAAAATATGAACTGCACGTATGATAGTGGCAAAAATTGTATCTCTCTTGTAATTTTGCTACTAATTGAAAAATGTTATTGTTTGCACTTTTAAGCTTGTTTTTTTTTTCTTTATTAAAGTGAAGATTACGCCTGGTACCCCAGGATATACCAATTTATATTGATACTTTAGAACAGTTAACTGAGAAACGGACGGAAGAAGTAATACTCTCCCAGCCTTGAACAAATCTTTTAATGCCATAGAAACTTGCCATTTCAAAGAAAGTAGCTTATTTAAGCTCTCTTAACAGGCCAACGCTGGTCCCACTCCCTAATTATCAACACTTTTGCTCTCTTACCTAGGCAGAGGAAGCGACTCAGAATCTGATTTGCCTCATCGAAAGCTGCCGGATGTAAAGAAGGATGACATGTCAGCGAGAAGGACTTCTCACGGTGAGCCGAAATCAGCAGTGCCTTTTAACCAGTACCTCCCCAACAAGAGTAACCAGACAGCTTATGTACCTGCTCCTCTGAGAAGGAAGAAGGCAGAGCGAGAGGAGTACCGGAAGAGCTGGAGTACAGCAACTTCACCCCTAGGTGGCGACAGAACTTTCAGGTAGGGCCAGCCTTTCACCTTTGTTTTTTCTTGTGTTGTCTTGTGTTGTCTTGTCTTGTCATTTCTTTCCTTTCCTTTCCTTTTTTTTTTTCATGACCTGAAAGAACTGCCCTTACTAAACATATGTCAAATCATGGCAATTTCAGCCCGCTCACACAGGAATCATGCCACTAAGGTGTGACATTTGCCTTGTTGACCTGGGCATTGAGAACACAGGTTTCCTTGGGGGCAGCTAGGTGGCGCAGTGGATAGAGTACTGGCCCTGAAGTCAGGAGGACCTGAGTTCAAATCCGGCCTCAGACCAAGCACTTAACACTTACTAGTTGTGTGACCCTGGGCAAGTCACTTAATCCCAATTGCCCCCCAGAAGGAAAAAAAAAAAGAGAGAGAACACAGGTTTCCATTTTGTGCACAAAACTCTACTGGTCCTAGACCCTTGTCTGACTTCTTCCGAAGAAACTGGCTTCCTGGAGAGCCAGGTTAGGTGTGGGGAGACTGCACTATGAATTGGGGAGTTAAGGGGGAAGTCTGTGAGAACTTCCTTGAAAGATAAACCTGGAGGAAATAATAGTCAACCGTCAGGAACTTGGGCTCTCCCAATTTGGAGGAAGCGTCTTAAGCAATTTATTCTTTATCTGCAGTTTTTAAAAATTTGTATTTTATCCACCTTTACCCTTGTGCAACACTTTACTGTTTGAAAAGTTCTTTCACCTACCTTATTCCATCTGATGATCATAATAACAGCACAGTGAAGAAGACAGAGCAGTTAGTTATTTTCATTTTCTTTTTACGTCAGAGGAAACTGAAGCTCATGGAGGTTAAATGATTGCCACTTACTAGCTGTGTGAAGAGAAATCAATCTGATTGAAACCCAGGTTGCTTGACCCCTTCTTCCTCCTCACCCCTTCATTTCAGTTCTCTTTCTGGGATAAGCAGTACAAAACCTCTCAGGTGACTGTTTTTATCTGAATGTTTTCTTCCTAATTGTATGGTTTACTCTCCCACAAACGTTGAAATGGAAGTGATCTTATTAAATTAAAGTTAATACATTTTGTACAGTAGTAGAAAGTATTTGGAATAGCATTTAAGAGCTACTGGAATGATTATATATTACATTAAGTATTAAGAAATGATTCAACTTTGTGTTTGGGTTTTTTCATTAAATTATTAGGTTAACTATATGTTGTATAACTTAGGACTTTTCATTTTTAGAAAATTAGTTTTATAAAAGTTCAGAAAGATATCGAATTTGGTCTCAGCTCAACCAATCATCCATGTGGCATTTCCAGTTTGGTAAACTGTATTGTACAACTCAATAGCTACCCAGAAACCATAGAGGAGGAAGAACAAAGTGACGTGGGGACTCATGATGAAGAGGCACAGGCCACCCCATCGGGTCCTAGTGGAAAACCTTCAGACGCGGGGTTAGAATTGAATGAGCAGAATGGTAAGGAACAGTCTCTTCCAGAGAGTGCAAAGGAAACGGTAGCACAAAAAGCCACGCACAAAGATCTTGAAGAGGTGAGAAAACGCAGAAGGTTGGAGCAAGCTGGTATCAAGATCATGCCAGCTGCACAGCGTTTTGCCAGGTTAGCTCTGCAGACACAGGATCGTTGTGCATGTTTTGTGCTTTGAAATGCGTTGGGTACGGTTGGCATTCGTTCTTCAGTTTTTCTCTTTGTGACTTTCCCCTCCTATCCCTGCTTCCCCCAGCTGAGTTGGTGGAAAAGTAAGCAGTAGTTTTAAGTGTGTCTGCTGTTTCTCTGCTTATTGGTTGACTATTTTAGAAAGCATCCATGCCTGAAAAGGAGTGACACCTTGAGTGGGCTTGACAAAGGATGGTTATTGTTTAATGCTTTTGTTGCAATGGAATTTCATAACTCCAGACCACCATGTGATGGTTTCTCTTGACTGAGTGCATTTTACTTACAGCTCTGTTGTTATTAGCGCTTCATTTGTTTTTCTACCAGTTTTAAATGGCTTATATCCAAACATTGTTAGAGAATGGTCAGTGTTACCATTCAATGAAGAAGATTTTATGAAGGATGGCTAGTCCTTCCTTACTAATTGCCCCTTGCCTTCTGTATCTCAAGTGGCTAGTAAATAACTTTACTATGTAATGATCTCCTGTGAACACAGACTGCTAGTTGTTGGTAGTTTTTTTTTTTTAACCATGGATTTGGGGTAAATGGGGTTAAAAATTTGAGTGATAAGTTGAAAGTCTGCCACTAGTAACTAGTTATGACTGTCTCCTATTACATATCAAAGAACCCTGTGCAATCAAAATCAGAATAATAATAATAATAAAATATAAAAATATATTTATTATTCTGAAACAATGATCATTTAAGAGATGTTTATATTTAATAACCATGAAACAGCATAGTTGTACACATTGAATTAAAAATTTTCTTTTTCTATGCAGTGGCACATTTAATATGTATAATTATTTCTATGATTCACACCAGTCCTGAGTAGAATATATTGACTATATTCTTAGTTTCTTTTGTTTCAAGAAGAATAGACATCCTCCATTCTTCCAGATAAACATATACACACCACAAATATATTTGTTATGACATGAAAACACAAAACTTGTGTTTAAACATATCTATATCTATATATATATAGAGAGAGATATAGATATATATACCATCTACACTTAACTCTCAGATACCATCTGTACTAAAGAGGACAAAGAGAACAGACACAAAATAACCAAAAACAATTCATAATCTTTGTGTCAACAACACATGTGTAATATATATGTTGTGTGTAATATGTATATGTCCATGTGTAATATAGATCATAAATATAATATGTACACACATACTCTGCCCCACACCCCTGCACAGTCATATTGCATATACACTGTTCTAAGCTGCTGGTTCAGTTGTCCATTTACCCCAAACCACAGGTGAGGATTATTGGCCAACTTCATGTTCTTTTGCTCCTCAGTTTTCCTTGTATTTTATACACATGAATATTTTGTCCCATGATAGAATATAAGCTCTTTGTCGTTAGGAACAGGTTTGATTTTGGTTTCATATCCCTGGCCAACTCTCCTTAGCATAGATTCTTAATGAATATTTGTCAAATTAAATCAGTTCTCATAAAGGGGACTATAGGTTCTACAGATAATGTAATTGTGAGTATGAATTCACACATAACCATGATTTTGAACTCTAAAATTTTCCTCACTAATCAACTTCCTAGAATTCCTTCCTGTGCCTTACTTCTCCTAAACTTGTTCTTTGTCCTCAACCTGAGCTTGAGTCCCTCTGCCCTTCCCCACTGTAGCAGTCCTTCCCCCTTGCTCTGGCATCACTTTCCACTCTTCAGGGCCTTAACCCTGTCGTTGACCAGTTCAACTATGCTTTGTTATTCAGTCCAGTCTTCTTGCCCCATTATCCTTTTGCCCTGCCAGTACTTAACCTTGTGCCACCTCCCCCATCTGCCTTCTAGGTTCCTACTATTGTGCACCTGAACTCTCTTGGAAGACAGCTGTTTGTAGTGACCCGTTATCCCTGCGTGGCATTTCCTTATATCCTTCCATGTTTCATACTCCTTGAAGCAGCTGTTTCAAACTTTCTTCTCAAACTCCCTCCTTCATCTCCTTTTTTTTACTCTACTTTTCAATCACCCTCTTCTTCTCACTGTGTTCTCTGAAAAGGTGTCTTTTCTTGATAAGATGAGTCAGTTTTGATGAGTACAGATATGATCGCTTCTCTTCCTGTATTCCCCGGCTCATCCTATTGACTCTCATATTCAGTCTCTCCTGTCTGACTCCTTCCTCTCTACCTAGAAATATGACTCTGCTTACCCTATCCATAAAAATCCCTAGCTCAATTATACTTCCTCCTTAAGCTGTTATCCTTTATCTCTCTTCCTTTTTTTCATTGTCAACCTCCTGAAAATAGATTTGTTGCTTTGTCTTCCTCATCAACCATTCACTTCCCAGTTACTTTCAATGCAGCTTTTGACCCCACCACCTTAAAAACTACCCTCTCAAAGGTTATTCACCATCTCTTAACCAATATATCTTATGACTCTGTTTTCATTCTCTGACCTCTATAGTGTTTGACATTATTGTCCCACCCACTTCTTACTGGATATTCTCTACTCCCTTTTTTTTTTTTCTGGCAGCACTTTCTGTGGTTGTGTCCTGTGAATTAATATCAGTCTCTGGTTCCTCGGTATTCCCCACCCCCCATTCTGTACTAGGCCTTTTTCTTTTCTTCTTCTATACCTAGTATTCTTACCTTGGGGTCCATGAACTTGTGTATATGTGTGTGTTTTTAAATTTTGATAACTATTTCAACATAATTGACTTCCTTTGTAATGCTGTATATTTTATTGTATGCTTTTAAAAACAGTATTTTGAGAAGGATTTCTTTAGGCTCCACCAGACTACAAAAAGAGTGTGTGAGGGACACAAAAAAAGGATTAAAGACCACTGCTCTATATTCTCCATGAACCCCTCAGCTCCCATGAGTTCAAGTATCCATGTCGATTACTCCCAAATCTAGATAACTAGCCCCCAAAGCACTCTTTCCAACTTCAGGCCTGACATGTCAGTCACCTGGCTGACCGTTACCATTTATATGTCCCACATACACCTCAAATTAAAATGCCCCAAACAGAACTGATTATCTTTTCCCTGTAAATCCCTCTCCAAACCTCCTCTTTCCATTGAGGGTGCTATCATCTTCACAGTGAACCAGGTTTGTATTCTTGGAGACACCTTGGAACTCTTCCTCTCCCTTAACCCCCACACGTCTAAGAAGTTGCCAAGTCTCGTCAATTCTGCCTCTGCAGTGTGACAAACATCTCTCCCTTTCTTTCCAGTTATACTGAGAAACTCTGCTAGTTCAAGGTCTTCAACACCTTTTGCCCAAACCATGGTAGCATCCTCCTAATTGCTTTGCTACTTCTATTTTTTTTCCAGGTCATCTTCTACACAGTCACCAAAATAAACCTTTGTAAGGCACCAAATTGAT